TCGTAGGCTGTTCCTTCTATGACTTCTTGTTGCCATTCCGGGTTTGACTGTGTTTGGGTCGCCATAGTAGCGGCGTTGTGAAAGACAAAGTTCTTGCAGTAAGGAAAGCTCGGAATGTACGGAGGGCCAATTATGACGACCTAAAAGCCGATCGTGACGACCTGAATGGAAAGCTTAAGTCTCTACAGACAACCGCCAGAGGTTTAGAAAGAGATTACGAGAATAAGAAGATGGAACTTGAACGATCAGAAGGCCATGTTACGGACATGAAGTCCCACTTCAGTCAAATGAGTGCACTGATGAGCTCTTTCCCACAAGACCCGACGCCACGGGCACAAGGGCCTGTCATGGAGAGTGCCAATGGAGCAGGTTCCTCTGGCAGATCACAAGAATCTCCCCAGAGAGCTTCCCTCCGACAAAGCCTCCGCGGAGATGGCAACCCCGAGGAGGACGAGGAGGATGACGATGAGGACCCGGTTGACCCAAGACTGCTCCCACGTCGCAAAGAGGGGAGCCATTGGGTCCATGGTGTAAGTCTTAATGTTCTCTCTTCTCACATTCTAGAGACGATAAGCCGATAAATGTAGCACTGGCGCAAGAACCCACCTAGCGCTATTCGTTGGAATTCTTCCCCTAGTGGGGTACGTTCTTATTCTCTTCATTTGCTTCGTCTGCCTTGCTTCGTTGGATGGTCGTTCAATTGCAACTTCTGCTGTTTTGTTGCAGTGACGTCTGGATAAAGTTAGCTTTGCTTTGGCTCTGGTTGGGGCCCGCTCCTAGCCTATCGCAGCTCGTATAGGCAAATAAAAGGGATGCGAGAATTACCGAGCATGTGACCAAGTGGTCTCGAGGGTGAGTCAACAAGATGTATGTAGCAAGTGCGTTGCGGTTGCGCTTTGAGTCTTTTGATACTCGTCGGATTGTCTGCCTTCGCAGTTTGGATGCTGTTTTCCCACTGTTTTGTGATGCGCCGTGTCGTCGGTTGCATCGGAGTCGGTAAATCTCGGCGCCGAAGTCGGCACATTGTTACCCACGATCTTGAAGGCGTTTTATTGGGCTTCCTTCCCAGCCAATTCCTCTGTTTTTGCATATTATCATTCTTCAAAGAATTCCTTCTATGCGGTCTCTCCTGTTAATTACGGATGAATTGTTAATAGAGTTGCTGGTCTGTCCCTTGTCAAACTGTGGCTCACGGAGTCTTTGATGGCAATGCCAAGCCTTCTCTCGCTTGATGTTATCGCTTGCTTGGCTCTGCACTGGGAAGGACTGGGAGGGTTGTAGACTGAGTCTTCCAAAGTGTAACCTGTGGATTTATCGTGGAATATCAGTGTCGTAATATTGTTTTCAAAGTGCTTCACGGGTTAGATTGAAATTCAAGACATAGTTCTCTAAGTAGGCTTCAAATATACTCTTTTACTCGCAGCCCCCGGGCCACATCGTCGGGACGTGCTCGGGGTCCAACAAGAAGAGCTCAAGGGCTCTAACGGTTCTTAGGATTCTTAGGCTTTTTATATCCTCATACTTACATTTTGAACGTAAGAATTGCCTGCTGGCAGAGATGGCAAAAGTAGGTGTTGAGCTTTCGAGTACAACTCAGGACAGTTGAATTCCTGTAGGTAGCCCATAGCACATGGTTACCACCCCAACCCGCAGCGAGGGTTAGGACTAGCTACCAGTGGCAGTGGTTGACCAATGAACGTCTGCTTCCCTACGTTCTCAGGAAGGAGCGACCACCTTCCGCGTACTTTCCCTTTTCGCGCGCCAAAACAAACCTGTGCCCCGCTCCTCTTCCTTCCTTCCGCAATCAATACCACCTCTCCTCATGGCCCCCGCACCTCCAAATCCCCAACCACAACCATCTGCAGCGACCGCTGCAACCATGTACACACCATTGACCACAGGTCACGTCAATGCGTCCATTGCGCGGAGAAGAGAGACTTCCTCTGCTAATACGCAACAGGAAGAGAGTTTGGGCAGCTCTCTGTCCTCCGCTCGACCAGTAGCCTCGGAGCTCTCGACCAAGAAGAGAATCTCCGGACTGTCCCAATTCTCCTCGCGTATCTTCACGTCCAGCAAGAAAGCAGGATCGAGCAAACGCAACTCAACTCTCGTCTCCGAGTCGGATCATTCGAAGCTCGAGACACCACACCCATCATCCTCTGGCAACAATACTTACCATACCAGAGTCTCCTTCTCCGATTTCCCCATCCCCCCTATCCTGCCAGAGAACCAGGCTCCAGCTGCGCGCAAGGATGGCAATCAGTTTGCAAAATCCGACCCGGCCTCCTCTACTTCGTCACCACCACCTACTGGCGGAAGCAATGAACAAGTAAGTACCACCTTCCGCCCTTCGATCTTCCATCAATCCTCTATCACGCGTCAAATTGTGACAGGTGAACCCTTTTGTTGGCCTGCAACACCGTCTCACTCTCATGTTGCTGCAACAATCATGCTAACCTCCGATAGGAAACATATCCTTTGCCCGGTGTTTTGAGCGAGCTTGATCCACCTTCCACTGTACCACACCATGGACGAGACACCAACTGGCCTCTTGATTACTATGTAAGTTCCTACCTATTCTCAAATCTCCCCAACTGGCTTCTCATCGCCAATTAATCAACCAACTGCTAATACATTGAAGCTCGTCTTCCCGACTGTTGCATACCCTTTGTCATCAACCAAGCAACGAGATGTCCACATTTACAGAAGCAACGTTGCCCCTACCGTAAGCATAGCCCTTCTTTCCCGTCATTCCTGTAGCCAAATCAATTCAAGGGATTATCATCTTGCTTCAGTATCACTTCCGTCAGTTTTCAAGCAAACGGTTTCTATTCTAACTTCTTTTAGGATCTCGTAGATTTCATTGGACCATTGCCGCAGCCTGCTTCCGAGTATTTGGCAATGTTGTTGAAGACCTATCCCCACAGAGCGGCCGAAATCAAGAGGACCGGAGAGGAATTCATGAAGCAGCAAGACCACATCGTCCAGGTAATTTGTGCATATCTGGTAAAGGCAGTCAACGATCAAAAAGAACACCTCAATTTTGTCAAAGAGCGACTGGAATATGAGACCAAAAAACGTCCTATTTCAAGCCAGCTCGCCGAACGTGTAGCCAACCACCAACAAATGCAGTACACTGTTGCTCTGGAGAAAGAAGTACGCATCAATAACGGCATAATGAAGAAGATGACGGAAGACATGAAGAAGACCGAGGCCAAGAACAACGGTTTTGCGGCTCGTATCAAGGAGCTTCACGCGGAAATCAACGGAATCCAACATCAGCGCCGTCAAGAATCTCGTCTACGTCACCAAGAAGCCCAAGATCGTGTCGAATTAGAGAGCAGAATCGCGCAATTGGAGGAGCAACTTGCGGAGAGGGATGAAGAACACGAGAGATTGCGCGCTTTCCGAAATGATTATATCCTGTTGTTTGAGAATCATTTCCGCGTTAGTAAGGAAAACGGTGGAATTCTTTTGGGTTCTCGTACTGCCGATAGTGGAAAAACTGATGGAAACGCTACCATTGCAGAGGGTTTGTCTGGAGATGCGTAATTTACGGAAAATGTCGTTTTTTCGCTAGTAAATGGGAAATCTAGTGTAGTGGAATTGGGTTGTTTTTTCTTCGCTAGTGATCGGCTTTGTAAGCGAATTACTTTAGTAGCTAGGAAATGAAAATGAATTTTACCTTGACAAAAACGTGTTTTTCTCGCGATTTTCATTCTTTCTAGATTATTTCTAGAGATCTTTAATACTTTAATACTTTCGAATAATTGAATAATATTTTATATCTTATTTTTAGTATTAGATATATATTAAGTAGCTTTTCTTTTCCTTTTGTTTTATAGTTTATACTAAGATTTAATTTCTTTAAGAGTTTAGGAAATTTAAGTTTAGGTAATAAAGTAGAACATAAGTAAGTAGCAGGTCCTTAAATTGGACTGCACTGCGACATTGTTCACCTTACATTGTTACAATAGGCAACTGCTATTCAACAGTGAAGGTACCATAGAATCATCGTCAAAGTAAGGAAACTCTAGATGTACGTATCCTGTATCAGCTTTTGCTTTAATCTTAATAGCAACGATAACCTTTTATGAAAACCACGAGAAAGCAGATCGGGAAAATATACACTGTAACATAAACCCACGTAGAGAAAGGCGATGTATGTATAACAAAATCTTGCAATTTCTCCTTAGCTAACTACGAAACTAACCAAAAAATGCGAGGTGTAACAAAGCTTTACCTAACTAAGGATGTCAGAAGCTGTAAGAAATGTAATATGCAACTAATTCTCGATACCTGTGAGGGTTGGAACCCATGATGGAGGCTCGGGCCATGCCCTCGCTAAGCACTGACCAAAGTCCCCGCTCAGCACTGGCCATAACCCCACTGCCAAGCAAGTCTCTTCTATTCTATACTTTTCTGTTCTATTCTCTTGACATTATGTAATTGTTAAGCAGTTTCTTGGAATATTCTAGAAGCTCTTCCTCTCTCTATATATAGAGAAAGAGCTTGTATGTTTGTAGTCTTCACGCACTTCTTAATTGAATATTCGAAACCACACCTTTGAGCTATTCGAGGTCTGGCCTCTCACAATACCCTCGAGAAAGACCATGGAAGTGACATGTTACACCCTGCAAGTGCAAAAGAACTTCACTAGGGATTCAGCAATTAAATACTCGCTCTAAAGAGATACCAAAAGATAGTGGACCGACCGGCACAGAAGCTGCGATATGTGACAGAACCTCGGAGTTGTCCCTAATAAGTCGCTAAGTAGCCGAGAAAACCAGCCCGCTGTTGATTATGATATCTAATATAACTCTCTCTCCTTTTACATCACTTCATCACGAATTACATTATGTAGTAAGTGAGTGGCCACCCCCTATGTATCTTGCATTTTAATAATAAGAAATAATATCGAATAGGTAGCTCGAAATGAGACAGCAAGGTGAAATTGATGCTGAAGACATAAGGGTGATAGTTTATTTGCCAGAACTCTGAAGGGGAACTGGCTTATATAGTGGCTGGTATGACATAAGCTGGTCACATGACCACTTGCTTCGTCACGAAATGCCTAAATTAATATTCAGCTATCTCCTAAGACAATATATTATACTTTGTAAATCACAAATATAGTCATCAGCTCCACCTAAGGCACAACTTTAGTCCCACCGTAGCCCGGGTTTGAGAGAAACACTCTACTCCTTAAGTAGTACTTTAGTTATCTAAATAGTCAAGGTACTCGTATGTATGGGTGTACACTAAATTGCGACTAAGCGAGTAGAATCTCGAGATACATCATCCTAATCAAACCCGTAAGTAGTAAGGTGATACTCAAATAATATTCCGATATTAGGCACATACTATAGCGGCCTTAGCGACTACAATATCTTTTTTGTAAAGAAGATCAAGGATACATCGGACGGACAATGTACAAGAAATTAAGCGGGACTTGTCGGTGACGGCAGCAAGTTTCTAAGAGCATTTTGCTATTATGGAAACAGTGCTATATGGATGTAGATAAGCGGTTGCCAGAGATCGAAAGTACTTAGATAAGCCCATTCTGAAATTGAAATTCGGACTTTGGAAGATTGTTATCTGGGAGTTGCTGTGTTGCGATTATCGCTACTTGGCTGTGAAGTGCGTGAGCAGTGAATTTTGCGATTTTTGACTTCGAATTAAGCTACATAGGGCAAAACTCTCAGCTTTTCCTCCGTAAAAGTACAGTACTCGTTGGCATTAAATACCTAGGATTAACGCTAGTGCTAATGGTGCCCCCCTCCCCGCCCCCCCCCC